CATGTATGTCTCGTAAGACGACTGCAAATAGTATTATTCATAATTTTCACTTTTTACAAATAACTTAACATATTCACACTATATTTAATTGACGGTAATCTTCATGTCATATGATTTTTAAAGTGATTAAGTGCAAGCAAAAATCAAATAAAATCATTTGTCGCAACACTAACATCTACATTCAAAATATATATAGAACTTACAAGTTCATGCGATAATTTGCGCGCATTCGGATAATTGTTGAGCTCTTATAAAAGCTATTTCACAAAATAAAATATACTAACGCGATTAACATAATATCGAAATTGAGAAATTGGTATAACAGATTTATGAAATACTTTCTAATTGATACAAATAATGTTGAAAAGAACAACTAAATGTTATTCATTATTTCCACCAAATTCCCTTTGTAAATTCAATACACCACCAATGTATCCCAAAATTGTTCCAAATCAATGGAATTCCAACTCGCTCATGCATCAAATGAAATGAACCGACAACACCAAATTAATCAATCTGTACAAAGCTAATCAAAAAATCCAATATCAATAAAAAGAATCAAATGAAATAACCAGGCAATTCAATCAGTTTTGTACTTCTTCCACCACTAGACAAACTCAAACCCAATAACTGCTGCTTCTGTGTTTGTACCTTCAATTTCCCCTGCTGATAAGGCTTGTACAAATCATACGGCTTCCAAAGATAATCCAATGTACAGGGTTTATTCTCATCAAGCCTAACCCATGGCTTCCCTTTACCACTCCAGTGGAGCAGGCTCACCGGTCCAGGGTGCAGGGCTCTACAGGATCCCTTCACATTGTCCCCTCCCAATCCATGCTGGTTCCATCTGTGATCAATGGGCTCCACATTTCCACCGAATACAAGCAAAAATGGAGGCAATGATCCCAGTTCATATATACGTTTCTTTTTCTGCAGTTCCATCCAGTTCTCAATTTTCTTCCTGTAATTCCCTTTTCGCCATTTTTCTAAATCCATTACCATTACACCCGTGTTGAAATAACACGGATTTCTTGACCCGAATACCCGGCTGAGTAACGGATCCGACCAGAATGTATCCGTGAAGTATTTCGTGAAATTGGCGTGGCAGTATTCCGGGGCTCCGATTACTTTGGATCCTGAGAAGGGGGTGTTCCAGAGCTTTTGAATGTCGTCGACTAGAACAAGGTCCGAATCCAAGTAGATGACCCGGTTGACACAAGGGTCAAGAATGTCTCCCAGATAGTTCCGGGCATAGTTTAACGGATTCTCCAGGGCAATCCGGATGGAGGAGGAGATTAGGTTGATGACTGTGTCTTCACGAAATATGTAGACTTTGAAGTTGAGTGAAGGGAAAATGGATCGAATGAGTTGGGTCAGGACGCGCGGGCTGGTTGGGTCGAACTCGGTGGCGATGAAATGGAAGAATACCTGCTCCGGGCACGACGCATGGCGGAGAACGGAGTGCACCGCCGCCACCGACCCGCGTAGATACTCCGAGTCAAGAGTCATCGCCACGTGAATCAGCGACGGATCACATGACGACACAGCCTGTCCCTCCGCCGTCGACGAACAGTCGACGCCGTTCCGGTAGTCCGGTGCCTCAGAGAACCCAAAAAAGCTATTAAATTCCGATTCAGACACCTCGGAATTCGGAAATGAACGAATCCCAAGACAAATCAACGGCAAACATAGAAGAATCAATAAAAATCCAACGTTCTTGATTAAACTGAATCTTGAATCAAATCTTGAACGAACCATTTCTTCTAATGGTTCTTGAAATAATCGAAGACTTTTATCTGTATGTTTATATAATATTGTCCGTGTATAATAAATGGGTTCTATTGAAAATGCATTGTATAGAAAAGGGAAGAAAGGAAAGGAGGTTTCTGGAGAAGGAATTGCAAGCTAAGAACGTGTAGTCAATGAGTCGACGCGTATATATACAACGGCATTATTGAGTGGACTGGTAAATGCAGAGTAAAAATTCAAACAGAACGCGGTTTTATTTCTACAAATAAAGAAATTAATTGAAAATTTGCAGTATAAACTATTAAATATTGCAATCGCTGAGAATCTTTTTGTGATTTTTATTTACCATAAATATGGATTCTGTTTGTATCTCGATTCATATTGAACTTGGCTGTTTGTCCATTCATATTGAACTTGGTTG